AATGGTCGACCCCGCGGCCGAAACTATTTCTGGCTGGGACTGCCCCTTACTAACCTTCACCTATCCAGGTTTTGATGGTGGCTCAAGGTGTCCAAACAAAAGATCTGCCTGCGCCGCATCATCTTCTGCTTTGTGCCTCAGGATCCAGAGGCGCTGGTCTCCAAGACACGAACCGGCTTATGGCAGGGCGACTGTGGAGCCGCGGCTCATCTGGTTCGCGTGCGCATAAGGACATGGCGGTGAGGGAGTTGTTCTGTCTTCCTGCATTCCTGTGTCACGCGAGCGCTCTCCCGGAAGCTGTCCATTGCAGAGTACCAAGGTCTGTTCTCAAAGTTTGTTCTGTGTCAAAATCTGCCGGGCGCACAACGACGGTGATTGCAAGTTGAAAGCAGTTCGGCAGCTTGGAGATGGAACCTATCGCTTCAAGAGACGTGGGGACTAGATGCAAGTTGAGGTTCTGGCCTCCGATCTTGAGGACCTTGGACACCAAGTTGTGGACACTCGCTGAGGTGGGCGTTGCCCAGCGAATGGTTTGTTGGATACCAATCTCTGAGTCTTTGACAGGCTTCGGAAGATCTCTTTCTTGGAAGAAGGAGTCTGCTGCGTTTTGGCCTGATAGCATGCGCGTTCCCTAAGAAACACACACTCCACACGTCGCGAGCGCACCTGCTCATGGACCTGAGCAAGCGTCTGCGGCGTCTCCTTGCTGAGATCCTTGCGCCTCGGGGTCTGCAACACGGCGACTGAAAACCACGGCAAGTTGCACCTGTTCGACCGCCATCCCTCTTTGCGAAGGTCCAACACATCCTGTCAGCGCCGATGGATCTGGGGGTTGATCAATATTCACTTCGGCCCCAAAATGACCATGGGTGACTGCTTCCATTTAATGGAGGATATCGTCCTTTTTGGTGGCTTCCCTAATGGTCATCCCATGCAAAGGACCTTTTGATCAACCCCCACTCTCTGCTTTGTGCAAGTCCTGAAGCAAGCAGCGGACTCTTCGTGAAACACTTTTGTCAGCAGATGCTCGTATGACCTGGCAGTTCTGGTCTATGCGAAAGAAATGCAAGCAGAGATCCCTCACCTCTGTAAAAACCATCTCAAGCTCACCGTGATGCTTCCAGCCTGGCGGGGAATGCTTTCAATTGCTGCCCCTTCTCAAGGGAAAAGGCTGCACAACTGAAAGAAAAAGAACACGCAGATTTGAGGACTGCATTTGATGTGGCTGCCACTCAGTCTCTGGATATGAACATGTTTGCAACATTGCTAAATACGAAGTTAGTGCAAGATTCATGGGACCACACAAACAAACATCCGAGCAACTGCTGGCAATCAATGGCAGCTAGACTTGGATCGTCCAAGGCGACACCTACTGTTTCCTCAATGCGCCATCCAGTCGAAGCATTCCGATTGCAACATGCTCGCTGTCTGCAAGGAAAAACGAGCTGGGCGTCTTTCGCACATCAGGAAAACATGCAATGACCATGTAGAATAGAAAAGCTACTCACCGCACAAACCAATCATCTGAGTCGCAATCAAAACCTGGTACTAAATACCCAGACCCATGTACAGGATTAAGAAGGCGGCCGCAGCTATTTATGGTTGGGATCGTCCCTGACTAACCTTCATCTACCAGGGTTTTGACTGTGGCTCATCTCGTATTTGACCACTGCGATCTCAGATGCTCGTGAGAGCAACGGCGCTCTGAGGACGTCGCCAAAAACGTAGCCAACGTCTCCAGCCGCTCAGCACGTACCGCTGGATCATCTCCTCATCTCCGGGACAGCTTGGCAAGGTATGTGTCAAATTTGGGGGTCCCAAAAATGGTGGATATCCTTTTTTGGGTTGTTGGATTCCCTTTAAATTCAAGCTGGACCTGGTCACCAAAGAAAAACAAACTACAGGTGCCACAAGATGGGCTCCCAGCTTGCAAGCTCCGTGGCGACGGCAATCGCTATCTTCGGAGCCAACCTCGGCAGCTGCTGCCACTTTCCCGCTTTCCCACTCAGACTCGGGTCGCTCGCGACGTCTGAGCAGCAAGCATACCATGTCTGATAAGTTCGCCCACCAGGCGAATGTTGCCCAACATCTTTGTTTTGTACTTCACCTGAAGCAAGAGAGATGCTCGAAGCCAAGCACTGGCTCATGAGCGTCTCTGCTCAAATCATCCAATGATAGATTGGTATCTCAATAAATATTATATATATACTATGTATATACGTGCATATATATATATAGTATATACAGACATACATACATATATATTATATATTATACAAATGGGTGTGTTGACATGGCTACACTGCCGCATTCTGCTTGCATCTCTCATGGCCTGAGCCTCAAAAAGGTCGTCTCCCGTGAAGCCATCGAAGCCTTCGGGGGGTTCCAAGTACCTCACAGCTGGCTGTGGTGGTCAAAACCGTTTTGGGATCGATCCCATTTTGGTTGGGATTGGGGAATTCACCAATTTTAGGCTTCCTATTTTAGTGGGGTTTGGGAATTTTGGTTGGTAGGTGAATTCACCACATCCAGTTTAGGCTTCCTATTTTAGTGGTTGGATTGAATAGGATGTTCACTGGGGGTACGGGCTAAACCCAGGAAACCCCTGGTGAGCCTCAAAATAGGTTGCACATGGATGTTCCACCCCAAAATGGGATCGCCATAGGTTATGCCCCGTGGCCACATCTTTTCGCCCCAGAAGGTTTCCCAGTGACTTCTGCTGAGGCCGGTTGTTCCCAGTGACTTCTCGGGTCACTGTTCAAAGGATGTCTGGCACTGGTTGAGAAGGACACGCTTGAAGTTGCTTTGCGACCTGTCGGCCATCAACCGCTAACTGCCGCCCTGGGCCAAGTGGCTGTGGGTCAAAAATGGGGTAACCTCAAAATGGCTTGCCCTGGTAAAGGGAACCCATGACTCAAACCTGCGGTCCGATTCCTGGTGGTTTCATTTTGACCAGGGGTTACGCAGGTTTTGGTCCATGTTTCCACTTACCAGGGTTCCATTTTGGTACCATTGGTTTTGACTCACACCCAAGCGACGCTTGAGCTGCCGACTCCGCCACGTCGATCTTGCTATTGTCAGTGAGCCACTGGTGAAGCTTGACGCACAAGCCCACGTACCTCTCAGCTGAGATCGAAGACAGGTTATCTGGACAAGCGCAAAAGCACATGTTGATGAAGTGGTGCTGCGTGGTGGCCTGGCATCACAAGGAAAAGCCCGCAATTCTAGGGGTTGAGTCCGTTTCCATTCTTTTCAGCCATCGTTCTGTTCAAAACCGGATCCGTTTCCCCTGGGTTTTGATGGTTTCCTGAAAAGAAGGATCCCTGGAAAGAATGGGGAAATTACCCCTAGAGCAATGGGATGCGTGGGTGTGCTCCGGCCTTCTCAAAAACAAGCTGCATCAGAAGGGGAATGCCATGATTTGGTCGATCTGATGCCGCAATTAAATCGATGATCTGCTCAGACCTAAGCATCGCACGTCACCTCCAGTTCTGCTCACCCTCACGAGAAACACCCGCACTCTGAGCTGCCAACAGCGTGTCAAACTTCTCGACCTTGCTCTTGCTTCATGCTGGAAGTGTAGCTGTGAAAGCTGCCAGGAAACAAAAACTAGGTGTGTGGCAGTCAGCTTGTTCAAAATGGAGCGCATGCTCTTCACAAAGGCGTCATCAGAGCTTTCCTTGTTCAGCTCCTGGCACCGGCGTTGCTAGCTGCCGCCTCTTGATCCGTCCGCGGTCCGTCTCCTTTCGTCGTGCCATCTGAGCTGCCCAGGAAGTTTCGCTAACCTGACAATCGCAAGGCCATCTGCCACGGTATAAATGTCAGTTGGGAACCCTTCGATGAGCATCATTTAGGTGTGGATTATGTCCACCCGGTCAGGGTATTCCAGCCAGTAGGATTCATTGGCACCAAAAACCAAAAACATATTTTTGGCCTCCACCAGCAAGATTTTTGGTCAGGGTATTCCAACCAGTAAGGGTCAAAATTAAGCCACCAGGGGACCACAGGTTGGAGTCCTCGGTTCCATTTACTGAGGTCTCAATTTGGGTGCCTATTTTTGACAACCACAGCCAGATTCATTGGCACAGTTTCCCAAAACTGGCCTCCAACTTGACAGCCGCGCGCATCTCTGACGCCTCAGGAGCCCTGTCCGGTTTCCCTTTCGCATCCTGGCCCAGGGAAAATTGGCGGCGGGTCAATGGAACCAACATGGAACCCTGGTATATGGCCATGGGTCAAATCCAAATCGTACCCCCAGTGAACATCCCAATCCAACCACTAAAATAGGTTCTAAAATGGGTGGTGAATTCACCTACCCCAAAATGGTACCATTGGTTTTGACCCACAGCCATATAGGTGCGGCTCAAGATTCACGAGCCAGGGTTGCGCAAGCTTTTGGGTTCCACTTTGCCAGGATGCCATTTTGGAACATCTTTTTGAGCCACAGCCACATGGAACCAAGGACGAAAGCCTGCGGTCCCGGGAAACCAAAACCGAAGCCCATGCGGGTCCTGAGTGTTCTTTCGCCGGGGCTTGGCTTCACCTCCGTTACGTGCCCGCCACTCTTTGCCATTCTCCTGCGCAAAGCAGAGGGGCGGCTTCCGGGCGACTGGCAAAAAGCAGAAGGAGAACACTTCGAGCAAGCAAGGTCTCAGAGAATATCTTGCCAGGCGCCGGCCCACTCACTAGATACTGAATGAACGCTAGATCCCTGGCTTGTTGGCAGCTAATGAGCTAGCTTCATCCAATGAGTCAGGATCATAGACTCTTCCAAGCATCTTCCCTGAGGCAGGGTACAAAACCCTCACAGTGCGAGCTCTGTTCCTCTCCAACACTTGCGCTTTCCCCATGCGTGTCGCCCACAAGGTCTTATTATGCTGTATGATCGTGTTGGCAGGTTTAGGGTTCTTAGGGTTTAGGCTTAGGGTTTTTAGGGTTTAGGTTTAAGGTTGTTAGGGTTTAGGTTGATGTTTTTTAGGGTTTAGGCTGAGGGTTTTTAGGGTTTAGGTTTAGGGTTTTCAGGGTTTTTAGGGTCATTGTTAGGTTTAGGTTTAAGGTTTGTAGGGTTTAGGTTTACGTTTTAGGGTTTAGATTTAAGGTTTTGAGGGTTTTTAGGGTTTAGGTGTAGGGTTTCGGGCTTAGGTTTGCTTGGAGCTGGCTGTCCGGTGCATCCGAGGCTGGCCTGGTTTAGATTTAGGGTTGTGTTGATGATAGCAGTATATAACCAGGAAAAGTCGCCGCACTCCATGAAGGGGGTATGGAGCATAAAGCTGGGGGGGTCGGGGGGCTCGGAAGTGCGTTTTTGCTGCAACTGCCACGCTTTTTGGAGGTCTCGGGGACCTGCTTCCGGGCGGTCGCGGGCAACACATACGTTTTGGCCGGGTACAAACCCTCACAGTGCGAGCTCTGTTCCTCTCCAACACTTGCGCTTTCCCCATGCTCATCCCTATGCCAAATGGGTGTCCTGTTTTCGTGGTACCTCTTTTGGGTTGATTTTACCGGGAAACCAAATGGATACCAACCGTTGCAGTGGGTTCCCCTAAAAAAGACACGCCCAGATTCGTGCCTGTGTAAAGGCCCCTGGAAACAAGCAAATCCAAGGCAAAACCGGGCTTTGTGAGCACTCAGCATTCACTCCTCCTTGCTCTCAGGCTCATTGCCTCTCCGCCGGAGCCAGTCCTGCAGTCGGGAAAAAAAAATCACTCCAAGTGAGCTCAGAGGCTTTGAGGTGCGAGCTGGCATCTCCTCAGACACAGCCTGCCGACTTGCTGGTTCTCACGGAATGAGGAAATGACCCCCATCAAAACCATTCCCTTGTGGCTTCCTTTAAGGAGAGCCCCAGGTTCTTTCTCGAACCTCCTGTGGATACTGAGAACCAGCAAGAAAATAGAAGATTGCTTAGTCCAATACCAAAGCGCAAACAATTGCTAAGGCCAGAGTTCCACTCGTTGACTACCCCAAAGTAGACTCAAACTTTTGGGCTGCCTGGTTCCGAAAACAGGCGAACACCTGGGTTTTATGTCCCCGGTACGCCAAACAAAATGAACCTTGGCTAAGGGACACGCAACGTGGCCTGTGTGCTCCATCTGGGAAGCTTCTCGCTGAACCTGCCCGCCGACTCAGCTGCTGCAACTGCGCGCCTGGCAGGTCTGATACGTCTGATGGGTTCGATAGGTCTGATGGATCTGACGGGTCTGATCAATCAGATAGGTCTGATCTGACAAGCCTGACAAGTCAGATGTCTCTGACAAATTGGATGGGTCGGGTCTGACAGGTCTGCTCGATCTGATCCATCTGATGGGTCTGACGGGCCTAAGGGTCTGATGGGTCTGATGGTTCTGGTGGGTCCAGTGGGTCACAAGAGTCGAACGGGTCTGATGGGTCGAAAACTAGCCAAGACGCTGTCAGGAACTTTCACTGGATACACTGGCATGCACTTGCTGCACGCCTGATTGACAGCATAAGATTCAAGTTGTAGCAGCTGGAGTCTTCGCTCCGGACTTCCTGCCACTGTAAACATGGTCTTGCAATGCGATCACAGCTAGCTTCATTTGAGTCCTAATCAAAACCCAGTATTAAGATTGTCTACCCAGAAACATGTAAAGAATTACGAGGGCGGATATCCGCAGCTATTTATAGTTGAGATTGTCCCTTACTAATCTACCCGAATCGGTTTTGAGCATTTGGCCTGAGCATCTCCAGAATCATCGGCTGCTACCTTGGCACTTCAGGCACACTTCTGTGACACGAGGGGGACTGTGGCCTCATCAGCACAGTCGCCTCCAGAGTGACAGCAATCCACCGAATGACACTCGCTGGCATGGGCACCCTGTGTCTCTCTCTGTGCCTTTCCGTGTCTCTGTCTCTTTCCGTGTCTCTACATGTGTGTGTGTGTGTGTGTGTGTGTGTGTGTGTGTGTGTGGGTGGGTGGGTGGGTGGGTGGGTGGGTGGGTGGGTGGGTGGGTGGGTGCGTGCGTGCGTGCGTGCGTGCGTGCGT